GGAAGTGTACTGTATAAGGGAATTACATTTTCATTTGTTCGACAAATTGTGTGTGTGTGTGTGTGTGTGTGTGTGTGTGTGTAGGGCTTCCCAGATGGTTTAGTGGATAAAGAATCCACCTGCAATGCAGAAGATGCAGGTTCAATATCTGGGTGGGAAAGATTCCCTGTAGGAGGGCTTGACAACCCATTCCAGTAATCTTGCCTGGAGAATCCAATGGACAGAGGAGCCTGGCAGGCTATAGTTCATGGTGTCACAAAGAATTGGATATGACTGAAGCAACTGAGCATGCATGCATGTGTGTGTGTGTGTGTATATATATATATATATATATGTATATATGTTTATGTGAGTGTATATATAGACCTTATTATGTAGGAAGCACTGTTAAGAAACTTAGGTTAGAAGACAAATAATAACAAATAAGTGTTCCAAGTATCAGGCTCAGCAGAGCCAGATTCTCTGATTTTTTTTAAGAGAAGCTTTAATCTGAATTTTTGTATGAAATCTCTCAGTTTTTAAATGTTGATAACTAAATTAGAATTTCTAAATTTACTGTGACAACAAAATTAAATATTTGTCACCACCATATGTTGCCTTTGGGCTTTGCTTATAATATCTACTAGTTTGAAGGATAACATAGTATCAATTCAGAAGCAGTCTGAAACTTTTAGATGATAAGTGGATCTTAGAGGATGGGCAGGATTTAAGTGCGCTGTGGAGAGGAAAGAGAGAAGGAGTATTTTTCTGTGGCTTCTGGTACCTGGAGCAAAGGTGTGGAGGCAGGACAGGCAGAGTGCTAACACCAGGGCTGGGGAAGGGTGATGGAGGAGGTATATTCTTAGCAGTAATGGCAGTAGTCTCCCTTGGGTTATACTGAGCTATCCTTTTTAGGTTAAACTTACTGCATCTGTCAGTATACAGATCTAAACAAAGTATTAGGTAAGACAGAAACTTATCTCTGTCATAATGGTCTGAGTGTAAGCAAACTAGAGTGCTCCTTTTCTTAGTTCACTCAGGCTCATTCTCATGAGCCAAAGATGGCTCAGCTGCAGGTTAGCATTCCAGCCAGTGGGAAGGGAAGGGAAGGATGGGTGAAGGCCATGACCCTTTCTTTAAAGGCAGGATCCAGACTTTGATCACAGTACTTGTGGTCACACCCCATTGGCCAGAACACGGCCACATCTGATTCTAAGAAAGCCAAGAAATGTAGGTTTTTAACCTGGTGGCTGTAAAAAAGTTACATTTTAATAGTAGAAAAAGAGAATGGGTATTGCAGATTATATAGCCATCCATCACATTTGCTCTTGTGAGGTAAGGTATCTCTTATTATATCCTCAGTTTTCTAATTGTTTTAGTAAGACTTCAGTGGTAGAAATGGAAGGTAATCCTTTTTAAAAAAATAGAATTATATTTCTTTCTTTATTTTTGGCTGTGCTGGGTCTTTGTTGCTGCACGGAGTTTCCTCTAGTTCCAGCTGTCATGTGCAGGCTTGTCATTGCAGTGGCTTCTCTTGTCGCAGAGCACGGGCTTTAGGGTGCTAGGACTTCAGTAGCTGCAGCTCGCAGACTCTAGAGCACAGGCTCAATACTTGTGGCGCAGGGGCTCAGTCGCTTCACTGTAGATGAAACCTTCCAGGACCAGGGATCAAACCTGTGTCTTCAACATTGGCAGGCAGATTACCACTGAGCCACCAAGGAAGCCCCAGAAGGTGATCCTTGACAATCATTTTTTCATCTTTTAGATTCTTATAGCCCACTGTATTTCTGGTTAAATCAAAGTAGCTTGGTGAGGTTTGTTTTTGTTTGTTTCTTTGTTTGCATAAAAGGTCTAGAGCAGCTGGTTTTCAGTTTTGTTGTTGTTGTTGTTCTTGGGACCCCTTTGCACTCTTAAAAATTACTAAGAACCCTGAAAAGATTTGTTTCTGTGGAGTAGCGATAAAGAGAGGTTTAACTATTGGTTTTCATCTATAGCAACTCAATAAATTCTGGTGTTTAAGATGTATTGAATTAAACATTTTACACATCTAGAAGCTCATTATGGAAAGCTTTGATTTCTGTGCACACTTATCATTGCTTTTGGCCACCCAGCCCTGCATCTACCTTTTCTCACTTGGCAGGTCCTGCTCTGCCTCCTATGGAAGAGTGAAGCACTAGATATTTGCACTTTCAACCACCTTTGCAGCCTGGCTGCAGGCATGTGACCTAGGTTCTGCCGGTCAGATGCACTTCCATCTCATATTTTGAAATAGAAACCAGTGACATGAAAATGTGTGTTGCAGCTCCCCAGGTGGTTTCCAGGACAGCAGCTGGTGTTGGCAGTGGAAGCTGCTGGCTGCCCTACCCATCAGCGACAGGCAGCAGGCCACAGCTGCTGTGGATTTGGGGTGATGTTCCCAGATATGTAGCCTCCAAGCCCAGTTTCTCTGGCCCTCTTGGAAATTTATGATCCTTCCATTATCGTTCTGTGGGTTCTTTGCTTGAAACTGAGAATCCTGCTTGATCCATTCTCAGATGCAGTGTCTTTCAAAGCATTGCTTGGAAGTCTCACGAATCAGAATTACATGGGCCACATCCTAACAATCCATGCCTGTCGGTGGACTTGAAACTAATGGATCCAGAATCCTTTTGAGTTCCAGGAATCTGAATTTCACTTATTTTATTTTTTCTTCTTTGGTCATGCCAAAGAAGCTTCCTTAGTGGTAAAGAGTCTGCCTGCAATGCAGGAGACCCAGGTTTGACCCCTGAGTTGGGAAGATCCCCTGGAGAAGGAAGTGGCAACCCACTTCAGTATTCTCGCCTGGAAAATCCCGTGGATGGAGGAGCCTGGTGGGCTACAGCCATGGGGTCACAAAGAGTCGGAGACAACTGAGCGATTAACACTTTCTTTGTTTGGCCATGCCACCTGGCATGTGGGATCTTAGTTCCCCGACCAAGGATCAAACCCACCCCCATCCCTGCTACATTGGAGCACAGAGTCTTAACCACTGGACCACCAGGGAAGTCCCAGCAACCTGCATTTTGAACATCTTGGGTTTATATGATTTTAGAACTGTTCTCCTAATGTTTCCAACTTTTTAAATTATTTGTGCTCTGTTTAAAGATCTGAGTAAGCCCTCAAAGAATTCACTCTCTGCTTTTAGGAGACTCTAATCAATGAGTAACTAGTATTCCCTGTCCTCTTCTCTCCACCCAGCCTCAAATTCTCCCTAAGCCTCTTTGTTCTGTCTCTTCAACTCTTTTAATGTCTTTTTTGCCCCCTGGCTTATTCTCCCTGAGAAGTAGTAATTCCCCCAATGGGATTGCCTGTGTTCAGTGGTCCCAGGATTGATTTGGATTTTAAAACTATACCGTGACTGGGGCTTCCTGCCGGTCATTTCTTTCTTGGGCATTTCTGTAGCCTACTGGTCTACAGCTTGATGTTTACTGCAAGGATCACTGGAGAGAATGAAGGGGAGAGATCGGAACATACTGAGTGACTTTCCTTGGAAAGCTTTTCATTCATGGATTCAGGCCAGAAAATAGCACAAAAGGATTGAATAATGTACCTCTGAAGTGTCTAGTATCACAGAAGGTTATAACTTGAAAGAAGCTTAGTCCCCTCATTTCATGAATGAGGAACTGAGGAGAAGTTATGTGTCCAACATCATTTAATTGATTAGTGGAGTTTAAAAGCCAAAATACATTTAGAAATGGGAAGTGATAATGCAGTGCTTGGTCTAAACTAGCATACAAAGGAAGGAGACTAACATTTATTGAGTATTTGAACTTGGGTACATTCACTTAACATCTTGAAGACTCAGCTTTCTCAATTGCAAAATCAAGATTCTAATAAGAGCAAACATTGATATGATATTGACTGTGTGCTGGGAACTGTTCTAAGCACTTTATATGCCAAGTCATTTAATCCTTACCACATCGACATGACTTAGGTACCATTATGTTTTCCCTTTATTCAGATGCACAGAAAGCTATATATTTACCTGCAGTCACCCTGATAAAATATTCTGTTTTCTATTGCTGCATTACAAATCACCCCAAGCTTCATGTGTTAAGACAACATATATTTATTATCTCACAGTTTCGTGGAGTCAGGAGCCTAGGCAGCCTGGGCATAACTAGGTCCACTGCTCGAGGTCTCACAAGGCAGCATGGAGGTGTTGACCAAGGTAAGGACCAGATCTGAGGCTTGAGGTCTTATTCTAAGTGCACATCATTCTTGGCAGCATCATGTCCCTGTAGCTATGGAATTCATGATGACTGAGTCTTCAAGGTCAGCAGAAGAATGTCTTTTTCTTTGAAAGGTCTCCCACTCTGGATAATCTCCCTTCTGATGAACTTAACATCAAATGTTTAGGGGCCTTAATATATCTGCAAAAATCTGTTCATCTTTGCCATATGACAGGACATAATGGTCCATCACCTATGCCATGTTTTGCTGAGGTTAAAAGCTAGTTACAGGTCTTCACTACACTCAAGGAGAGGTGATTATATAAACCTGTGGACCGCAAGGGGTGGGTATCACAGCGCCATCTTAGAATTCCACCTACCATAGCCAGGAAGACTTAGGTGAAGCCCAGACTGGCTCCAGGTCTAAGAGTCCATGCTTTCAGTCTCAATGACCTTCTTTCTCCTTCTGAAGCAAGTAAACCCACTTTATAACCTTGCATGGTGTTCTAAGAAAGATAACACCCAGCAGATTCTTTCTGGGTACTAGGCAAGAATTAAATCTCTTCATACCTCCTGTTTTCAAAGTCTGCTTCAAGAAACCTTATAACCACCTGCAGTTTTGTACTTTCAGGAAGAAATTTCCAGTAGTCTCAGATTATATAACTTATTGCAATTGGTTCATATTTTTTCTCAGGCAGAAATAACCCTGGGGTTGGGAATATGAGACCTGAGTTCTCAAGAAATAACCCTAGCTCTGCTTTTTTTGCCTTTGAAACAGATGAAGTGATTGAGAAGAAACAGTAAACATCGTCATCTTGTAGACAGGACAACATGGATCAGCCATTAACTGTGAACTCCCTGGTAAGTGGCACCAACTGGCATTTTACATGTGGTTCGAAAACCCAAAAAGAAGAACAGAAACACACCAAATGTGAAATGAGTCACAACTGCTTCAAGAAGTTAAACACTTGCCGTTTTCATCCACCTGTGCGGTCCTCTCCTTTGAGGAAGTGACTAATAAAACCATCTTTGCTACAATTAAAAATAATTCTTTTTTTTTCCATGAAAGCATGAAATTTTAATTCTCTGGTTTGGTTCCAGGAGTGTAGTTCTTTAGCACGACAGCAGAGAGAATTTCAGAGATGACATTGTAACAGGTACTTCAACTGTTCTGTGCCTCAGTGTTTTCACAGATGAAAAATTAGAGGTTTACCTTATGTAGTAATAGCTAAGGAAGCATTTTATGTCACCGAGATGCGGCCTTGGGATCCTTGTGTAAATGTGCGAATACCTGAAACCCTTGTCCTTTTCATCTCTTCCCCGTACAGCCAACATAGCACACCCCTTCTTGAGCTACATCTTAGGAGAAATAATGTGCTGGAGAGGAAGTAACAGGGGCCTAGGGATCCCATGGGCTTATTGTGTGTCCCAGATCAGTCTCTGAATGTGAATATAGCAACTTTATATAATCTCCATGGCCCAGTTTTGTACTTTGCACCTTACAACTTTTGGAAACCATAGTTTTAATGTTACCAGCCCATCACTGGGGCTTGATAAACAAAGGTTATCATTACCAGCCACCTTCTCCTGGTGACCCTCCCAAACCCACTCACTGAACTTGTCCCCTGGGGGGAGCAGTGTACCGAATACCCTATCACACAAAGCTGAGCACCAGAACACGCACAGACGGCCTAGTGCTTGTTCTGAAATAGGTTAGTGTTCTCTCTCTCTGTGGAAAAAGGCCTTCCCAGTTGCTCAGTCGCTTTTGTGAGTATGTCTGAGGGGCAGAAAGTTGTAGGCACTTTTCATTTTCTGACACTGTATTGTCAAGACTGCCACATTTCCACCTCCGCAGAAGGAGTCCTTTTCCTGGAGTTCCTCATGTGTTTTTCTAGAACATTATGTGAAAATAATTAAAATATTAGTGGACCTGTCGATGTAAAAAATGAACACTAAGGCTTTGTCATCTGGAAAATTTTACTTACATCCAAGAAGTTCATGTTCAAATGAAAAATTATCGATTGATGTAGAGTTTAGGCTATTTCCCAGTTTATCTCTGAAATCAGTTTTAAACTTAAGTAGAGTAGCACCATTTCCATAGATGAAAAATAAATATTTTTTTCTTCCGGTAAAAAGATAGTCTAATTATAATCACATTGTTCCCTTTCTCTCTTCCTCCTTTACTTGATATATTTATTGGTTATCATTTGTGTTACAGGGAATGTACTATATTCCAGAGCACAAAGATGAGTATAAAATGATTCCTTTCCTGCAAGGAGCTTATAAGGAGTCAAAAATACTTGTAAACAAATAATTACAGCTCAGCATAGACTGCATAGTGAAAAAATGGACAGGTTACTTTTGTGCATACAGGAGGCTGGAAGTCTGCCCTAATCTTCCTAGATTTTTTTTCTGATGTCACTGAAGCATTAATCTGTGGTCATATAACAGCATTCTTGGAACACAGTCAGCATTATTTGGTTACATGAGGTTTATGCTGTTTCCTCACCCACAGAGCTAAGAAGCTGCCACAGAGACTATGTCCCTCAGAGCCTAAGAGATGTGCTATATGGCCTTTAACAGAAACAAAAAATGTGTTGACTTTTTCACCTTTCAGAAGCACTGACTTTTTTTTTTTTTTTAATTTATTTTTATTAGTTGGAGGCTAATTACTTTACATCATTGCAGTGGTTTTTGTCATACATTGAAATGAATTAGCCATGGATTTACATGTATTCCCCATCCCGGTCCCACCTCCCACCTCCCTCTCCACCCGATCCCTCTGGGTCTTCCCAGTGCACCAGGCCCGAGCACTTGTCTCATGCACCCAACCTGGGCTTGTGATCTGTTTCACCCTAGATAATATACATGTTTCGATGCTGTTCTCTTGAAACATCCCACCCTCGCCTTCTCCCAGAGTCCACAAGTCTGTTCTATACATCAGAGTCTCTTTTTCTGTTTTGCATATAGGGTTATTGTTACCATCTTTCTAAATTCCATATATATGTGTTAGTATACTGTAATGGTCTTTATCTTTCTGGCTTACTTCGCTCTGTATAATGGGCTCCAGTTTCATCCATCTCATTAGAACTGATTCAAATGAATTCTTTTTAATGGCTGAGTAATATTCCATGGTGTATATGTACCACAGCTTCCTCATCCATTCATCTGCTGATGGGCATCTAGGTTGCTTCCATGTCCTGGCTATTATAAACAAGAAGCACTGACTTTTTATTGAATAATTATCCTGAACTTATATGTTCTGTGTTTTTCCAAATGTGTATGTGTTTTTATTTATAAAATACAAATGTATTAATATCACAGACCCTTTTTCAGTAATTATTATCATTATTTTCTTAGCCAGAGATGAATTAACAATGTAATTATGTTGGGAATAGAGGGGGGAAGGGGGGAAGTGGTGTGTCCATATGCTGAAAAAGTCTTCTTCAGGACTTATTGGTGGGGTTTTATTCATTTGGTAAAGATGCAAAGAGGCCCGGAAACCTTCTCATTAAACTAGATGTATTCTGGAATAGAATTGAAAACATACAGTAACTTTGGATCCCAAACATGTCTTAGAGACCCTTCCAGTATAATGATATGATCTCTGCCCTGGCAGGAAGCCATCTCTTGGCTTACTTTCGTAAGGATATAATGGTCAATGATATTTTACCTAAAATGACCTAAAACATTCGCATACCCAGGAACTGCCACTGAACTGTAGCTGAAACCTGCAAGAGATCTTAGTCCTGCAAGAGATCATATCCTGCAGATATGTGCTTTTCTGGCGTGCAGACCACATGTTTAAGCAAAAAGACTTTACTTTTATCTTGTTATTAACTCATTAAAAAAAAAAAACTTTCCTTAGGTACTGATGTCAGATATTTAGTACAAAAAATACATCTATAATTTCAGTCTGTTCATTTCTTCTTATAACCAGAGATTCAAATTTGGCTCTGCAGAGAAAGTTAGCTGCGATGCCAGACCACACGGATGTCTCCCTCACTCCAGAAGAACGAGTCCGTGCTCTAAGCAAGCTGGGAGGAAACATCACCATCAATGAAGATATCACTCCACGCCGCTACTTTAGATCCGGCGTAGAAATGGAGAGGATGGCATCTGTGTATTTGGAAGAAGGAAACCTGGAAAGTGCATTTGTCCTTTATAATAAATTTATAACGTAAGTATTTTATCTTGGAGATCATTGAAATGAGAACATTGGGAACAAATATTTACACGCTATTTTGATGAGACAGCTTCGATGCCAGGCATGTATTTATACTCAGATCAAATTTACAATCTCCAGAAGCAGGAGAGGGCCAGGTTTTAAGTTACAAAGTCATGTACTCAAAGGTGTCCCAATATCGTCTCTGAGGCTTAGGGGTGGAAGATCAGAGATGAAGTGAGGTGCAGGGATGTATATCCATAGGCCAGCACTCAGTAACCTGAGTGCTCCCTTCTCTCTCTTCACAAAATTTCTTGTTCACTGTCATTCTCCCTTCACAAGAATGCAAGCCTTTGTGAGCAGACATCTTATTGTGGCTCTATCTAGAGCATCTGAAATGTGCCATTAACATTCTTGAAATTTAATTTGATGGGTTGAGACCAGGGGTAAATTGACGATCCTAGGAAGAAACTTTTTGGGGAACAGAGTGTAGTAGTTGCTTTAACATTGTAGTCAGTATTTCTTAAAGCAATTATTTAGCTGTGTAAGAATTGTTATGTATAAAAGATCTTCCAATATATTGAAAGTGGCAACATCAAAATAGTCATGAAAAAATATCACACTTCATATTAGATAGATATTTGTTAATAACATATCCTCATTTGAACTAAAAAAAGTGGGATTTGGACTTTCTGTACCAATTTGCCATCTTACTGATTGTGAAGATCTCCTGTTACCAAAAGTGATCTCATCAGAGCCAAAGCCCTTATTTTTGTTTCCACTGAAAATCACTCATTGATTGGTTGTATTCATTTACTTGGGGATTTAATCTGAGAACATGCAAGTTGAAAAAATCAACTGTTTTTTAAAATTTGCTTTTGGCTGTGATGGATGTTTGGTGTTTTGTGCAGGCTTTATGTAATTGTAGCCATTGGTGGCTACTCTCTAGTTGTGGTGCTGGGGGGCTTCGGTAGTTGCTGCTCTCAGGCCGTAAAGCCCTAGTTTAGTAGTTGTGGCGCACAAGCTTGGTTGCTCCTCAGCATGTCGGATCTTCTCGGCCCAGGGATCAAACCTGTGTCCTCTGTGTTGGCAAGCAGATTCTTAGCTACTGCACCACCAGGGAAGTCCAAGATCAACTGTGTTAACTGCTGCATCCGTGACTCTACCATGGGTGAATTAAAGGCAATTAGTTTGGTATGCAGAGTCAGACACGACTGAGCAACCTCACTTTCACTTTTCACTTTCACACATTGGAGAAGGAAATGGCAACCCACTCCAGTGTTCTTGCCTGGAGAATCCCAGGGACGCGGAAGCCTGGTGGGCTGCCATCTATGGGGTCGCACAGAGTCGGACACGACTGAAGCGACTTAGCAGCAGCAGCAGCAGCAGCACTATGGTATGCAAAGTGGTCTCTTCATTTTATTCACGTTAATTAACTTGTTGGAAATTTAGAGAATGATTGGCAGCATTCATTTTAACTGGGAAAAATCAGACTTTCAAGAAGGTTAAGAAATAACTATGAAATTGGATGTTATCAACTGTCATCGATAGTACACATTTTCCATTTTAGTTTCTGAAGTGTAAGTTACTAATTGATAATATTTTTTTCACCTTCTGAGTTTTACACACACACATAAATGTGGTAAAGGGCCACTATACTATCTGAAGGCTTCTCATTGGCACCAGTGGTAAAGAGTCCGCCTGCCAATGCAGGAGACCCAACAGACTTGGGTTCAATCCCTGGGTCGGGAAGATCCTCTGGAATTGGAAATGGCAACCCATTCCAGTATTCTTGCCTGGAAAATTCCGTGGACAGAGGAGGCTGGTGGGCTACATACAGTCCATGGGGTCACAAAGAATTGTTCATGACTGAGCGACTGAGCACACATATATACTCTCTGAGTTACTGAGGAATCAGAATATTTGAATTCTCCCCCATCACTAACGATATGATCAGTTATCCTCTGTGAGTTCAATTTCTCATCTGCATAAATTAAAGGCTTATTATAGATGAAAATCTGAGGTCTCTTCAACTCTGCATATCAGTGACTTTATTCTACATATAAAAGACATAGGCAACTGACACCTTATGTGGTTTATTTAAGCTTTAATTTTCTCAGTTGAGAAAAATAAGAATTATAATTCCATGCCTATGCATTCAGTAGATGAGATGTGAGTGTATATGATTTGTAAACAACAGAACATCAATAATTATAAATGAAAGTTGCTCATCCATGTCCAACTCTTTGCAACCCCATGGACTGGAAACTGTGAGGCTCCTCTGTCCATGGGATTCTCCAGGCAAGAATCCTGGAGTGGATTGCCATTCCATTCTCCAGGGAATCTTCCTGACCCAAGGATCAAACCCAAGACTTCTGCATTGCAGGCAGATTCCTTATCTTCTGATTCCTTACTTTACTGTCTGAGCCACCCACCCATGGGTGTAGATATTCTTAGTGGTCACAAACTCCTGTTCTTTCCATAAAGGAGACCTAGCCATTCTGCAGTTAGGAAGATATGAGGAGTTCTGGCTAATGAAATGTGGAGGAAAATTACATGTATCAGTTTCAACCTGAAACAATCAGAAGTCCTTAGTAATTCTCCAGTCCCTTTTCTTTCCCTGACCTATGTTTCAAACAGAGCAACTACAAGATATCAGGGTCTCCATCAGTTTCCATCCTCCATCAGCTTGGGTTCCCAAGTATCTGAACCGTCTCAGAAACCCCAACTTGTACTGGTACCAACCATACCTGGGAAATAAACATTTGTTATTTTAGGACCCTTAGCTTTTGAAGTCAGTTACTGCAGTATAGCCTAGCCTCTTTCAGCCAATAAAAAACTAAGTAGTTAATTGAAATATGTCTGTGGTAAAGCAATAATTAAATAATTTCAGAGGAATGAAGAATGTGCTACTATGTTAATCAAAACTAGTATTTGCTTTAAGGGTCATTTGTTCATTTAACAAATATTTATTGGGCATTTATTATGATGAGATGGACACTATTCTACAGGCTGAGGATACATCAGTAAGAGGAAAAAAAAACAGAATTTCATGCCCTTGTAGAAGCAAAATCTTAACTTTACCTGGAAACAATGAACCTGGTTTGCTATAAGGATTTCCCTTCATTTTCACTGTCCCTTGTTCCTGAAAAGGTGATGAAGAATAATTAACTGTTAATTAGCACCTCCTAATCCATTAAGGATTCTGGCTGACATTTATCTGAGTTATGAATTTTCATATATGAGTTTTTAATACACATATATCTACCATGCCGGGCTTCCCTGGTGGCTCAGCTGGTAAAGAATCCTCCTGCAATGTGGGAAACCTGGGTTCGATCCCTGGGTTGGGAAGATCCCCTGGAGAATGGAACAGTCACCCACTCCAGTATTCTGGCCTGGAGAATTCCATGGACTATTCAATGGGATCACAAAGAGTTGGACACGACTGAGTGACTTTCACACCATGGCACTGCTGATTCATCAGTGGCTCTTTGAGTCTGTTTCTGTGAGAAGGTGTTTTTTATCCATCTTTCCAAACTCTTACATTTTCATGTGATACTCAGTGTTGCCAGCACTATACACAAGTAAAATGGTGCTCTAGTGGGGTTAAGTGCCCAAAACCTGAGAAAAACTAAAGTGATGTGATCTGTTAGGGAGCATCGTGACTTTAACCCTCTTAACCTCAGTGCTTAGTTTACTGAGCTTAACTCCTCCGTAATGCCAAAGTCATATTTATACCAACCTTTGATGGCAGATGGAAAGAATATAGGTTAAATAAAAAGGAAAATGGCAACCCACTCCAGTATTCTTGGCTGGAAAATCCCATGAAGGAAGAGCCTGGCAGGCTACAGTCCATAGCATCACAAAGAGTTGGGCACGACTGAGCTCACGTAAATAATGTTATTAACCATGTCCTTTTGAAAAGGAGGTTCATTCTTATATTAGAAACCATCACTGAGCTTTTTCTGTCATATAACTCTAAGGATGTGTTTTCTCTTTCTCCAGTTTGTTTGTAGAAAAGCTTCCCAACCATCGAGATTACCAGCAATGTGCAGTACCCGAAAAGCAAGATATTATGAAGGTATTGAGTGATCAACTCTCCCTGGAGGTTCAAGTTCCCCAAGTATCCATTATTGATTCATCCCTCTCCTTTCCTCCTCTGTCTAATCCTCTCAAGAGTGTCAATGCAAAAAAAAAAAAAAAAAATCATTCCATTAGCTATGATATTTCGATCTCTTCTTAGACCTTTAGTCATCATTACTGTGGGATATCTACTTAAAACTGGGAGAAGAAAAGAAAAAATAAAGAATGCACTTGATCTTACGATATGAAGAAGGTATTATTTTATGATTCCTCTCAGAGATTGAGAGAATAGTTGTCTGTTTCCCCATACTTATTTAAGACAGTCATTTTGGCTGGTTTTGGTAATTCCATACAATTCTCAACTCAATACCTATTTGAAAATCAGTGTTGATTATCAAGGCAGTAACAAAGTTCTAATCATTTTCTTCTTATAGTACTCACCTCTTAGACAATGAAGTGTTTAGTGAGTGACCTGAAATAGTCCAAAGGAAAAGGAAGGCTGTTGAAGTGTATTTATTTAGCATCAATATTTGCTACATATATAGTTTCAAATATCTTTAGCTGAGAATATATCCTCTTAGATAACATTTAAGCAATGTTTTCCGTTTATTTGTCTTAAGTAGTTTGGGTTGATTTTATATGATGGAGATAATGTACACAAAGTCAATCACAACATGAAATTTTAAATTACTCTCCAAAAATATTTTACCACATAATGGAATAAAAACTCTCTTAGCCAGTTATGTCAGGCTTCCTGTGGCTCAGTGGTCATGAATCCACCTGCAATGCAGGAGATGTGGATTGGATCCTTGGGTCAGGAAGATCCCCTGGAGAGGGAAATAGCAGCCTACTCCAGTATTCTTGCCTGGGAAATCCCATGGACGGAGGAGCCTGGTGGGCTACATTCCATGGTGTCACCAAGAGTCAGACACCACTTAGCAACTAAACAACAACAACCAGTTATGTCAGGCCTAAGGGTGCCTATAAGTAGAACACAAATGGTCACCTACATTGTTAAATTTCTGTACACTCTCTGAAGGGTCATTCCTTATCCAGCCTTTGTGTAACATTTCCCTTCAGTTCTCTCGTTCATTTAATGTCAGAAAGTTCTGGATGGAAACCAAGGTCTTAGGCTGCCAAGGTGACCCTTTTACTCTAATTTGGTGGTGGTGGTTTAGTTGCTAAGTCATGTCCGACTCTTGCAACCCGACGGACTGCAGCCTGCCAGCTCCCCTGTCCATGGGATTTTACAGACAAGAATACTGGAGTGGGTTACCATTTCCTTCTCCAAGGGATCTTCCCGGCCCAGGGATTGAACTTGGGTCTCCTACATTGCAGGCAGATTCTTTACCGACTGAGGTACGTGGGAAGCCCACTCTAATTTAGGATTATTCTTATTTTCACTTACAGAGAAAATAAATTCTCCAAAAGCATATACATTTTCTGTTTTTGCTCATTGAATAAATGAATCGATGGATGACAAAAGATTAAGAGCACAGAAATTTTAATGGAAGAGCTTAACTAGAGTTAGGAGTTTTGGATTTTAGTCATAAGGAGGCCATCAGTCAGTTGTATGACACTGGACAAGCCTTTTGATCTCTCTGAGCCTTTGTTTCCTCATCTCTACTAAGGCTGGTGTGGGTGCTTGGATGGTATTTTCCTGCCATCAGGAATCACTGAGAAGTTGTGTGAGATACAGATCCCAATCCTTTCTCTGAATATGTTGATTCAGTAAAGCTGGGGTTAGGCCTGGGGATCTACATTTTTATAAAAGGTGCCTCAACTGCTTTTTCCAGTCCGCTAAGCCTAGGGATCTCTACTTACCGTGTTCTCCAATGTCCCTTTAACTATGATGCCATATAATTTACAAACCATGGAATGTGCAGTTACAAATCCACTACTGAAAATGAGGTGCCTACCTATACAAAATGCTTACCTAACCAATGGCGTCAATAAAGGTCTTACAAAGGGGATAGTTTTTTCTCTTCTCTGCTGAAAAGTTGTATTTTGGAGCCCTAGAAAATATTGATTTTTCCACCTTCCTGTTTGGTTATTGGTGTCTTGATTTCTAATACACATACCAGCTGTTTTTCTTTCTCAGCTGATGATCTGAAAATTCTGAAAATTCTACTAATCAATATGTATATATATATTTTTAAAAGAAACTGAAGGAGATTGCATTCCCAAGGACAGATGAATTGAAAAAGGACCTTTTAAAGAAATATAACGTAGAATACCAAGAATATTTGCAAAGCAAAGTAAGTTCAATTGGTACATTTATTTCATGGATTGTTTTCTGTGCAAATATTTTTTTGAATTTTATTTTCATGAGTTTTTCAAATGTCATCTGCATTTAAGTTAAAATTAAAGAAACAGTGATGGAAAGCACATTAAAAAGTTGATGTTGATGTCCACGTTATGCACTTGCACCAAAGATGTGGTCATTTTTATTTCCCAACAAGATCTAATAAAGTGAAGCATTAGAAAATAGACTTTCTACAGTAATTTAACCGGAGTGTCCCTTCACTGTTTACCTGAGGCTACCACAACATTGTTAGTTGGCTATACCCCAATACAAAATTAGAAGTTTAAAGTTGGGGAAAAAAAAGAATAAACAGAGCTTTTTGACCAACTCTTGCCAGTGTGATCTTGAGCCAGATGGCTGCTCTTTAGCAATGGAAAGAGGCAGTAAGAGAGGTAGGGAGAATAGTATATAGTTTCTGAGGTATCTAATGAGATTCTTAAATATTTTAATGTTATGTTATTATATTCTTAAGTATTATAATTACTATAATAACATAAATACAACATCCAGATGGAATAATATCTAGCTATATGAGTGAAATGTAGTCAGATCATCAAAGGGTGATGACTTCTGGGTTCTTATTAAATAGAGAGTGAAAAGAAAAATTATGTCTGAGATCAAAGGGCATTGAATGAAGAAATTGACCCATCGGTCTATTAGATATTCCAGTTCAGCACTTGAACTCTTAAGGTTTGCAGCTTCTGTCTTGCTTTTTTGTTTGACTGTGTGTTTATGAGCTTTGAAAGTTTCAGTATTACTGATTCTCAGTTCAGTCCAGTCTCGTTACCGCTGAACATGGTCACAGGCCTTGTCTACTTCCTTCGGTGTCGCTGGAAGTAGGTTTGAGTGAGCCGTTTGCATTGAGTAAGAGAAGGAAGATTGAAATCAGAAGATTCCCTCCAGTGTGGATACTGATAATTTGATTTGAACTGTGAAAGATTGGGACTTCCAGGTGGCCCCTGGGAAAGGGTTAAAGTGGTAAAGACCCCGCCTGACCTGAGTCAGAAAGATTCCCCTGGAGGAAGGCATGGCAACCTACTCCAGTGTTCCCGCTTGGAAAATCGCCATGCACAGAGGGGCCTGGCGGGCTGTAGTCCACAGAGTCACAAAGAATCAGACACGACTGAAGTGACTTAGCAAGCACACACACGAAAGATTGAAGTCATTTTGGTGGCCCAGACAAGACAACAGGAAGGGGGAGAAAAGTCTGTTAAGTTCCCCTCCCTACTCAGCGGTGTGAATGCTAGTCCCCTCTGGCTCTGGGAGGAACAGCGTCAGCAGTTGTGGTCTGCTGTTAGTGACACCAGTTACTTCAGAGTCCACAATAGGACCCCAAGTATATGCCAGGTAGAAATATTTGGGGGGATAGAATGGCAGCCTTTATGTCTGGGAGACACAGACATAGCAATAAGCCTTTGCTGCAGGCAACAGTCATATCACCTGCAGTCTGTTAGAATGCAGATTCTCTGGCCCTACCCTAGACCTGCTGAATGCCGGTCTGCCCTGTAACAAGACCCAGGGGATTTGTATACATAAAGTGCTGCTTTTAACTGTGTCCCCCACCTCGCCCTTGCCTCCTAGTAGCTCCCAAAGTCTAGTTTTCAACAGAATTATTTGGGAAGCTTCTTAAAGATTAATTCTCTGACCTAATAAAGCCTAGATATTTTTGTTAAGGCTGGGGAGTTGGGAATCATCATTTTTAACAAAGCTCCTATTAGTTTGTTCTGATAGAGACGACGACCCCATTCTGAGAACCACTTTTTAGGGATACCCCCTTCTCCATAAAGTCCGCACTATGACTTCTAGAGTCAGTTGCAAAAAGGTTCAAGGGTGGTACTATCCCTAAGAGCTTTGGATGATGATGGCAGTGCTCTCTCTGGAGCTGTCTGATATGGGAGCTGCTAACCTGTAGTACTTAACACATGGCTAGTAAGACTGGGGGATTGAATTTCAGATTTCATTTCATTTTAATTAAGTTTCAATCATCACATGTAGCTAGTAGCTACTATACTGGACAGTGCAGTCTAGGGTAATATGAACATTCTGTGAAGCAGTCTGATCAGCCAGGCTATGCAGACAGTCCTGACTTTGATTTTCTAGTATTTAAAAGCACAGGAGGATGGAGGGAACTTGATTATCCTGTCTTGTCTCTGGTAAAATATGAGTGGACTCCATACTGCTCCTGAAATCAGATTAAGGGGCTTTTGCCACTATGTTATATATTTCTCTGGTCATCTCAGTAGTGTCCCTGTGGGCATGTGGGAGTATCTAGCTGTGTGTGCTGGAAGATTGAAAGCTTCTGCTTCCACTTTGATGCTTTTGGCCTGGAAACTAACCTTTTCCTGTGGCAACCACATTTTCTAGAACAAATACAAAGCTGAAATTCTCAAAAAACTGGAGCATCAGAGGTTGATCGAGGCAGAAAGGAAGAGGATCGCCCAGATGCGCCAGCAGCAGCTGGAGTCAGAGCAGTTTTCGATTTTTGAAGATCAGCTCAAGAAGCAGGAATTAGCCCGGAGTCAGGAATTAGCCCGGAGTCAGCTGCGAAGCCAGGAAACCCCGGCACTGTCAGAACAGATCGATGGCAGTGCTTTCTCCTGCTTTCCCACACGCCAGAACAATTCCTTGCTGAATGTACTTGCAGATCAGTCTAATAAAAGTGACGCTACTAGTTGTGCTGGCCACTCACCTCCCGTCAACAGGGCCTTAAAGCCAGCTGCGACTTTAAATGCTGTTCAGAGTAAGTGAGACATGGAATTACCTCTTTTTTGGTTTGTTTTTCATTTTTTAAAATTTATTTGTTTTTAATTGGAGGGTAGTTGTTTTACAGTATTGTGTTGGTTCTGCCATACATCAATGAATCAGCCATCTTATACATATGTCCCCCTTTCTTGAGCCCCCCTTTCCACCTCCCACCCCATCTCACCCCTCTTGGTTGTCACAGAGCACCAGATTTGAGCAGCAAATTTCCACTGGCTATCTAATTTTATATATGGCAATGTATATGTTTCAGTGCTACTGTCTCAATTTGTCCCATCCTCTCCTTCCCCTCAGTGTGTCCACAAGTCTGTTCGCTATGGAACCGTATTTCTGTGACACCTTTGCAGGGTCTACTCATTTTATCATGAGCGTGGTCATTCCCCTGGTTGATGTGGTGTGAATGACTTGTGTCATCTGCCTTTTGCTACATGTAACCTTAACACTCAGGAAATGTGATTTGCCCCCTGATAGAGCAGAGACGGCATAATAAACACGATTATATTTGATCACGGTACAGATATTGTAGAAGAGAAAAATTCTGAGCATTTTTTTCATTCATGTACTTTAATCAAGAAAACATAAATCCTAAAAGGTAAACACTTAACACTGGAGAAGAAAGAAGATGCTGGCAAACTTGTTTGTCCAGAACTTTGCTCAGTCGGTTAATGTAAATATTTAGCATTTCCCTGGCCCAGGAAGATCCGCACAAATGGGTGGTTAACCTCCCAATGGATTAGGTGTCTCTGCCAAGAATTAGTGCTGCTTGGGACTCTGACATCAGTGTTGGCAGGTTTCCAAAACCAAGTGGGAAAATTTCCCAGCAAACGCTGTCAGATGGAGTTTGTATTTCTTTTTATTTGGAAACACTTATGATAAGCAGTTGTGCTATAAATTACTCTGCTGCCAGTTATTTCTGAAAACATGGTGCTATTACTTAATGATGACCAACTTCCATAAGATATAAGCAACACATGGCAAACACGAAAAAAGAATATCCTAAGGCTTATAGAATATGAGATGTATTGTCTGCAGCCTCTGCGCTTTGTGCCAAGTGAAAACAACACATGCATGTGAGCAGTTGATCTAAGACCCCAAGATGTAAAAGCGCTTATACCTTCCCACTTACCTATAAATAATCTATATGCAAAGGGTAATTCTACCTTCCTTCTGGTCATTGTTCACTTTTATAAGTTTTAAAATAAAATGCAGGAAGGGGAGCACCAGATAATTTCATTTTTAGAATTTATATTTACCTGTAGTCACTTGAGGGATGTGATGTAAGGTTTGTTTTTTTAGCTTTTTCTCCCTTTTCTGTTTCTTAGATTTAGTGGTTGAAGGACTGAGATGCGTCGTTTTATCAAGAGATCTTTGCCACAGATTTCTGCTGCTGGCAGAATCCAATACAGTGAGGGGAATAGAAACCTGTGGAATACTCTGTGGGAAGCTGGTATGGACTGTGTTTCATGTCTTCTCTGTACAGGATACTGTCAGTAGAACTGGGTTTCTTGTGATTAGTTGAGCAGAACAAAAACATCCTCAGTGTCATTATGAAATAACCTGTATATAGATTAATGTCATAAAACCACTGTCATTAATGGAATTATCCTTCTAGAAAATGGGTTGCAAAATCTCAGAGAGGCTATCAAGTTTGTTGTAAAGAACTAATCACACTGTAAATTAAGTCTTTGTTTAGATAAAGGGGAGTTTTCAGGTTTCCAGAACTGTCTAGTTTTCTAAATCAGATTTCCCTTGCAATTGTTAGTTTGGCACACATTCCTATAATTAACTCAACTTGCTTGTATCTGTGGCAGTGATAATCTTGCCACCCTTTTTCACATATGTGAAGAATAAAGCTAGGGGGTGTTGTTTTCTTTAAAGCAGTAGTTTCAGCAAACCGCAATCACAAAGCACTGGTCATATTTAAGTTTGGGAGATGTTATCAGAAATAAGTGATGAAAGACAATGTCAAACTAGAAGGAGATAAAAAAGAGAAGATGCATTTAGTTTTCTACTTCAAGAAAGATATACTCTCTTTGGGATATCAGTTTATATTTCTGAATCCAGGCACATTTTCATTCCTAAACATTTACTTGAGGACTGTTATTTAATGATATGTTTTATTCAACACACATTCTCCTACTGTATTCCAGTGTTGTGTCCTCACGGTTTCCTCCAGGGCAGAGGAAGCAGAGAAGATAAGCACAGAATAACCTGTCATTTCCTCCCCACAGCTGCCTTCTTTGCCCTGCAGGGGGGCAGTGTGCTGTGGACGCATCTTCCCCAAGACCACATGTTGTACTTAGTTTGATTGATTCACTCATTCTTCATTCACCCCTTCATCAAACAAATATTCACAGGCCCTGCCCTAGGTGTTGGCATTCAGAAGCCTGCAACAGCCACAGTCTTGCCACGTGATACCTATATGATGCTTATAAAGAACCAGACAGATGAGTAATTATAAATGGAGCTGCGTGCTCTCAGTGGAAGTGGAGGGTATTGTGGGAAAGTGTATGGGGGAAGGTCAAGAAGGACTTCCCTTGGGACTTCCCAGGTGGTCCAGTGGCTAAGACTCTGCACTCCCAATGCAGGGGGCCTGGGTTCGATCCCTGGAGAAGGACCTAGATCTCACATGCAGCAACCAAGACCCAGTGCAGCCAAATTAAAATAAATAAATGATTTCAAAAAGAAATTTTTTAAAAGAAGGGCTTCCCTTGAAAGGTGATGTTTACATTACATATGTTTAGAATACATAAAATTAGCCATGAAAGGAGGGGCTGGGGTGGAGGGAAGTGTTATAATCAAAGCCAGAGGAACAGTGCCCAGTTTGCAGAAGTGTCCTGAGAGAAGAGACAGGATGGTGCTGTCCAAGGAGGGGTAGCTCCTCACTGAACAAACATCTCTTATCTGAGGATCCTATCACTACAACTCTCTACCTTTCAACTCTTTATCTTTTACCTAAGGGGATAAAAGAGGGAAAGGGGGTCACAGAGGATGAGATGTTTGGATGGCATCACTGATTCAATGGACATGAGTTTGAGCAAACTGTGAGAGATAGTGAAGGATAGGAAGGCCTGGAGTGCCACAGTCCATGGGGTCACAAAGAGTTGGACGTGATTTAATGACTGAACAACAACAAAGGGATAAAAGATTTTTTTCTTTCACCTTTATCTAATTGCCTATCCAAAACAGTGTCTTAATTATGGAAAATCTTCGTGAATCCCTCCCTCCAATAGTAAAAGAAAGTCGTAAGTCTTCAGGTGAAATTAAATAATAAGAAAGACCATCAACCTTCACAAACCATTAGAAATTGTCCTTCAATAAAACCACAAAATTATTTAATGACCATCTCCCCTTCCAGAGAAACCTGCTGCTATTTTATTCTGATTTTTCTATGGCAGTTCTAATGCAGCATTTTATTTACTATGTAAACTTCGAGGGAACAGCCCAGGATACTGATTCCTATTTATGATACATTTTTCTGTTGTGAAAATGGGTTTCAAGTGCCAAACAATTGACTCTCAAAGTTTTGGTAAATGATCTGTTTTCAAGTCTGGGCCTTTGTTTTTGAATTGTGATGTGGGTGGGAGGAGGATATAAGTGGTGGGTACTTTCTAGTCTTATAAAACATTACACTTCCTCCTCAGGCTTTTTATTTTTTTCTGTCAGGTGTTTATTATTCTCTTTGCTCTTTGTTTTTCAGACACATAATGAATTTACTATTACCCACTTAATAGTGCCAAAGCAGTCTGCGGGCCCAGACTATTGTGACGTGGAGAATGTGGAAGAATTATTCAGTGTTCAGGATCAACATGATCTCCTCACTCTGGGGTGGATCCATGTATGTTCGACCTTTTGGGTTTTAGGTTGTTGTTGGTTTGTGTGTGTGTGTGTGTAAGGCTTTTTTCCTCCTGGAGGAACTTCAGCTTAAATGAAATAATTTATTATTTTTAATTTTTCCAAGTATAATAAATGTCATCATATTAAAGCATTTTCTTCAATGTGAGGCAGTGTCTAAATCTGTCAAATCTGGATTTGGAGAGGCCTATTATAAGTATGCTTTTTTTCCTACCATTCCAAGTTAAAAGAGAAACTTTTGGAAGTCAGGTTGGCTTGTCTTGATGATTTTATGTAGTCTAATGGAGGCCTAGGCAGATTTTTATCTGTCTAATATGATTAGACAATTATTAATATTCCTTTTCCATTGGCTGTGGGTCTAAAGTAGATTAAGAAAATTTCTGAAAGTGTTTCTTTTAAACAATGTTTGTACTTGTCAAATAGGGACCATACACTTCACTGTATAAATACCTCCCCTACAGGCCACAGATATTTGTGCCGTTGCATATATAGCCATGGAGTGGGACCAAAAATTTGTGCTCCAACATTTACCAAGCTACCATAGAAGTAGGACAGGGCTCATAAATCAAAAGACATGAGTTTAAATATCAGCTCTGCTAAGAATTCACTGTAGGAATGTTGGCAAGTGATTTAAGCAATCTCAGCATCAGCTTTTCTTCCATAAAATAGGGATATATTAATGGATGTCATATGTCAGTGAATTTCTCAACATTTTTTTCTAGGGACCCAGAATATTGAAGCAATTGCTATTGGTGATGATATAGTACTTTTGCTATCCATGATTTCCCTATTTGGTGAACATTTTTCCATCCAGTCTCACACTAGGCCTGGGGTAGGAACAAGTCGTCTCACTGAAGTCTGAGAAGGAGCCACTTTTTATTTTGCTTGCTTTATAGAGAAGTATTTAGTCGTGGAAAGACACATATCCACGTCTACACACACACCTCAACATACACATACAGACAGACAGTCACCAAGCTTCCGGTGTTCTGTAATTCAGGAGAGGAGAGGAGACTGCAGTCCTGTCATCGCATGGAAATTACTATGTGCCCTTGGTCAGGACTCCTAGCCTCCTGTTTCCAGGTTCCCTCATTGATCCACTGGGGCTACTGACTGCCTTCTCTCATGCCTTCATAAGGACTTGGGATTTAGGACTTCCCTGGTAGTACAGTGGATAAGATTCGCCTGCCAATGAAGGGGACCTGGGTTCGATCCCTGGTCTGGGAAGATCCCACATGCTGTCAAATAACTGAGCCCGGGCAGCACAGCTGCTGAGTCCAAGCTCCAGATCCCGTGAACCGCGACTGCTGAGCCTGAGCGCCGCAACTGCTGCATCCCTCAGGCCCGGAGCCCGCGTTCCACAAAAGAGAAGCCGCCAGAATGAGAAGCCTGCACGTGACAGTGAATGAAAGCCCGCCTGCAGCAACGAAGACCCACTGCAGCCAAAAAAAAAAGATTTGGGTTTAAAAGTTAAGATCATTTCTGTTCTTCAGTTGATCTAGGTCTTTGCAGAGCAAGAGTTATTTTTTCCTTGCACAGCATGTATCTCTCTGTAAATAGATATCAATGGATTTTACTTTCATTATGTTAAATAGAGAGGAGTTTTTAAATCTCGCATTTCTTCCAAAGATCATAGTTATATGCAAATATATGAAGTGATTTGTATGGGTCTGTGCCCTTGAGTTAATAATATTAAAATAACTATAATGGCAATAACAACAATCATAACAGCTAATGATTTTGATACCTTTCTGTGTACTGGGCACTGTTCTATGAATTTTACATTGGTTGTCTCATTTAATTTTCATAGTAATCCCATGAAGAAAATTATTGTTATCATTATTTTATAACTGATGACATAGGTATGAAGATGTTAAAGAATTTTCGCAGTGTCATACAGCTAGTAAGTGAGGAAGCCAGGACCCAGCATGAATACAACCTTGGATTCATGATTTAAGTGGTCACATTCCTTTTTGAATGTGGTTGGAGTTTATTATGAATTTAAAAATCATTATGAATGCATGTATTTTTCGTAGTCAAATATAGACTTCTGATTTGCCTCTCATAAACACTTCCGTATATAGCCAAAACCCAGAAGATAGTTCTTCTAATTTATAATCTCCCCTTTCTTCTCATCATGCAAGATGAGCGCCAAACATCTTCAACAACTCCAAGAATTCCTTTCTCTTATTGTAGGGGGCAGAGATCCATGAAAGGACACCAGCATAGTGGGATATATTTAGCAAGAATTTTCCTTCTGTGTCCACAGTTTCATATCTTAAGTATCTTGCAGTTGAGGTTGTGTTCCCTTGCAGGCAATTTACTTAAAGGAGCCTCAGAATCTTTATACATAAAACTGAGATGTTAATCATAAGTATCTCCCAGATTAGTTGCAATGATTAAATGAGGATATATTTAAAGCTTCTGGCAAATCTCCAGTTTTATCTTTCCCAATAAGCAGAAAGTATATAAACACTCCCGAGAGTCTCTTTTCAAAGTCATAGTTATTCCATAGATGTATGAAGGGAAGGATTATGTCAGTAAGACATTTTTCAAAATCCTTATTTGATTAATGGTGGTAAAGAAGAGCAAATAGCTAGAGTTTTTTCTTGGATTGGGCTCTGGTTTTGGCTAAGACTTATCTGTTGCTTGTTCAATAAGATTGTCTTCTTTTCTTTTTATAGACACATCCAACCCAAACTGCATTCTTATCCAGTGTTGATCTCCACACTCACTGTTCCTATCAGCTCATGTTGCCTGAGGCCATCGCCATCGTCTGTTCACCAAAGCATAAAGAGTAAGTGTAACTTGAGAGGGTTTAAGTCAGGTTTCATCTGGGGCTGCTGGGTGTGTCCACACACCAGGTTGAAGCCCTTGGATAAGCAGGTACACCATGCCCTTAGGGAAAAGAGATTGGTTCCTGCTGGGTTCCAAATATGTGTAGCTCTGCAGTCTTTTGCTTTTTAAGATCCTTTCCATGGTAGAATTACCATGGAATTCTTTCTTTAGTTAATGTGACCTTGAAATGGATAAACCAGATGTTGTTTCAGTTTGCCGTTTGGGATCTTAGTTCTGTTGTATGATTTCTTTTGTGAGAAGATGTCCAGCTCAGGGAATTCCCTGGTGGTCCAGTGGTTAGGACTCCACACTTCCATTCATGGGAGCCTGAGTTCGATCCCTGGTCAGGGAACTAAAATCCTCTTGCCACACAGAGTGGTCAATAAAAAAAGAAAGAAAGAAAATTTCCAGATTTAGCTTAATTATCTCCAAAATCTTCTTAAGTCTTGGGAACAATGATTATTGCAGCACAATTATGAGCAGAGGAGTCAGCCATTGGAATCCCAGCTTGATTAGCGACCACTGTGAGCCTCAGTCTTGTCAGATCCCTGATACCTGCCCATCACAGATTAATGTGAAGGTGAACCTAGATGATAGTTTATGTAAAGGGCTTAGCATGGTGCCTGGAACTATAGCCAGCACTCAATACATATTTGCTGTGGCTGTATAAATATTAGTTATACTTTAGAAATACTGCAGATTCAGTTCCAGACCATCACGATAAAGCAACTAATGCAAGTGACATGAATGTTTTGGTTTCCCAGTGCACATAAAACTTTGGTTCACACTGTAATCTATTAAATGTGCATTATGTCTAAAAAACTGTACATACCTTAACTTCTAAATAACCATATTGCTCAGAAATGCTATCATCTGAGTCTTCACCAAGTCAGAGAAAGATCACTGATCATGCTTTTCCGTAACAAATACAATCATGAAAAAAATTTGAAGTATTGTGAGAATTACCAAAATGTGACAGAGAGATTTGAAGTGCGCAAATGCTGTTGGGAAAATGGCTCCAGTAGACTTGCTTAAGGAAAAGTTACAAATCCTTCACTTTGTAAAAAATGCAATATCATTAAAGGGCTGTAAGTGAAATGCAATAAAATGAGTATGCTGGTCATTTTATAAATTTTATAGTAGAAATATCTGTCACTTGTAATTTCTTCCCATGGGGTCTTGGCTTTTCCTCTAAGGTCTCCCACTGCCCTGTTACCATCCTTTCGGCGCTTGGCATTAGTATTGGTCTCTCCGGTCTTCCTCTAGGCTGCCAGCACAATATTGATCTGAAAAAAAACTGTAAAGTTTATAGTTTGTTGTTTCTTTCTCCATTCCATTTGAGGAATATGTATGCATGTGCCATTCAAATAAAACATCTGCAAAGCCCTTAATTTCTGTACCTTTTTTCCCTAAAATTTAGCACCGGCATCTTCAGGCTCACTGACGCTGGCATGCTTGAGGTTTCTGCTTGTAAAAAGAAGGGCTTTCATCCACACACCAAGGACCCCAGGCTGTTCAGTGTGAGTAGATAGACAATGTTGATTATTTTCTGTACACAGTATTTATTTTTCACCCCTTCCTTTTTTAAAAAATTGAAATATAGCTGATGTAATATGTTAGTTTCAGTTGTACAATATAGTAACATTTTCATACCTTATGAAATGATCACCAGGGTAAGTCTAGTACCATCTGTCCCCATACTAAGTTATTACAATATTATTGGCCATATTCCTTATGCTGTATATTACACCCCTGTGGCTTAAAAAGATGTGATGTTGTATATGTACACACACACACACACAAACACATGCACACAGTGAAATATTATTGTCATAAAAAAATAAAATCTTGTCATTTGCAACAACATGGATGAATCTATAGGGTATTATACTAAGTGAAATAAGTCATACAGAGAAAGACAAATACCATATGATTTCACTTATATGTGGAATCTGAAAAACAGAAATAAAACAGAGTAATAGATACAGAGAACAAATGGGTGGTTGACAGAGGGTAGGGGGTTTGCAGGGTGAAATAGATGAAGATTAAAAGGTATAAATCTCGTTATAAAACAAATAAGCCTCTGTTTTTTAAGAGGGAAATAGTAGCAATATGATATAGGATAAAACCCTTTATTGCTTAGTTTAGAATTTTCTGATCTCAAAAACTTAATCAAAATCTTTGTATTTCCTTCTGATATCTTGTCATTATTATTTTATTTACAAAAAAGAGTATTTCTGTAGCAGAGTTGATTACATAAAAGGTTTCCTTTCCATCACTGTATATATGTGTGTCTATATATATTTAAACAATTATAGTTTTCTTTGGAGTCCCCAAAAGCAAGAAATTATTAAAGAAAATGAGATTAAATGTGTCTTGAATTATTTCTGCTTGATACAACCATATTAGTTTTTCATAACAGTACAATGAAAACTGTAATCCTGTTTTTTGATAAGCTTCGTGTAACTCCAGAGTGACATTATCTGAATACATCTTTTTCTGTTTGCTTGGCTGTTCCCTGTCTGAGACATCAGAGAAACATGATTTTGAAGTTAGGATTTATTTAGCATGAAAACTACTTGGCACCTTCTGTAAATATTTCCTTGCTGTTGAAAATGAGTATATATGATTATGTTTGTTCTGAGTGGAAATATTTTTCAAAATTAGGAACAATTTTAAATCAGGAAATTCATGTTCCTCCTCTAGAGAGAATCATGTTAAACATTATGAACTAAAGCCAGTCTTTCTTTCCTAGGTATGCAGACATGTGTTGGTGAAAGACATAAAGATAATTGTGCTGGATCTGAGGTGATAACGTTCAGAATATTAGCACCCTCCATGCCAGACACTTACCCATGGACCCGTGGTTGCCAGATTTTCTTAAGATGTTTCCAGAAATGACTTATATTTTATATTTATACATTTTAGATCAGAGAGTTTGATATTTATTACTTTTGCACATTTTGACGCTTTATTTTTGGGTTGCTTTGTCTTAAAAGAGGTTACAGTGGAGTTGTCAGTACCTATTAATGTGCCTGAATACTATGACCACATAATAAATTGTGCTGCAAACAACATGTCTGGTTTTAAACTTATTTTTTGGATGTATAGTTAATGTATAGTATTATATAAGTTTCAGGTGTACGACATAGTGATTCATAGTTTTTAAAAGTTATACTGTCTGGTAGTTTGAGAGATCTCTGCATAAGTTTTCGGAGCTTCAGATGTTTTGCTATTTTTTTTTTCCCCTGTAAAATGCAGTTCCACCCAAGAAATTCTGAGTACCAGGTGATCTCTAAGACAGGCCGTCTGTTTCTGCAACTTCTCCCTGTGGGTGGTCAAGACGAGTGTGAGAAGAAATACAACTGCAGACAGTTGAGTCCATCCTGTGATTTTCAGAGCCAGGGAATCCTGGCTCAGAGTCTGCAGTCAATCTTAGTGTAGGAGACCAGAGTCTGAGCTACTATCCAGGGGTCAGGTGTCAGAGGGCCTGAGATAACCTGTGATTCATGAACTTGATTTAGAGGACTAAGAGCAGAGACACTTGAGAGAGGAATAAAAAAAGGCTCAGATGGAAGCGTAAAACCTATTTCTGTGAAAGTCAGTGGGGTGACGGGGAGAAGAAATGAGGCATAGGAAATCCTGATAATTATCAACCAAAAGGAAGAAATAAAATCATTTGGAAAAAACATTTGTAATTAAAAGTGTCTATATAAACCAAGGCACAGGGAATAGGAAGGAAAATATGTTTAAACTGAATAGAGTATCATGAATACAATAGGCTTAGAATGGGATTTGTGACTGGTACCTGGATAATAAAAGTGTTTCCCTGGATTGAAAGATAATGGATTAATAGAAGGAAAGAGGGACTGATGGAGTGTGTTGACAAGTTGAATTGGTAGGAAAACCCTAAGAGTGGAAACATTATGAAGAAAATTTAGCCCAAAAGAAAGGGAGAAGAAAGGAAGTCAAGCTAACCTGATCTAATCTCTCTTTTCAAAATCTTGCCTGTCAACCACAGCTTTCCCCAATTTTACCTTCCTCCTGGCATTGTATCCTAAATGCTCTTGTCTGCATGTACAAGCATCCACTTTTTAGTGCAAGGATTTCTGTAATCCTTGGAGGAATCCCCCCTACACTCTGTGCTTAGATGAAATAACATCCCTCCTCCTCTTGTCTGCTCCCTAATACAGGTATCATGGCAGCCAGCTTCTACTCCAGTTCTCATTCACTCTGGGCAGCTCAGGGGGTTGTTTCTGCCTATGACAACTTGTAGGCTTGGAAAGTTCAGTTTCCAGACCCCAGAAGCAGATCTTTGCCTGCTCAAGGCACCGAGACTTGAGTCTATAGTCTCCGTCAGCTAAGGGCAAATTACCTCTGTGAACCTGCTCCACGAACAACCCACTTTCCCCTCCGTGATGCTGTCCTCAGTGTCCTAGAATTTAAGGACAGTGTGATCCTGACGTACTTGATCACAGGAAAAGATTATATAACTTATTCAAGTAAAAATAACTCTTAGGACTAAGCAGAATTGAGAAATGAATGATATCCTCAGAGTAGAAACCAAAGACAGAGTAATAGATCACGAGGCTGTGAGATGAGAAACATCTGATGAAAAAACGATCGCCATGAAATGGTGCCTAGAGGTAGAAAGGACTCAACTGAAAGCCCAGAACTTTTAGCTTCTTAGCTTTCTGGAGAGAATAGAAAGAGCTACTACGGCCATGCGGAGCCAATTATATCCCTTCTGAATAGCAAATTAGACAACTCATTTTTCATTAAAAAGATTATGTCTCCTAAAGGAGTGGGGCATTCTTGGCATTTTTATTCCCTTGCAAGGAGACGTGAAATGTCAGGCTTGAAACGAATTTTGAAAAGTTGCCCTTCAAGGGTGTGTGGTTTTCTTTATTGCTGAATGCAAACCCAACTAGCCAGATTTGCCGGGAGAACCTTGTCCCAGAGCTGAAAGCAGCAACCCTGTGACTTGCCCTGCCTGGAAGAGTCTCTGTCTGAAAGAGGAGCCATCAGACATGTGGCCACACCCCGAGGGCTGGGCTGACTGAAGCAGAACCCACGTGAGTCACCCTGGAGGTTCTCCTGAGTGTGAGTGTCAGTGTGAGCCTGTGTGGGTGGGTGCGACCGTAGATGTTCCCTGAAAGTGCTTCCTCTGGCAGAGCTCTTTCCCAGCAGGCGGTGCAACTCACTATTTTGAAAATTAATCCATTCCAGAACCGCATTTGCCACCTCCTTGCATCACCGACTCGATGGACATGAGTTTGAGCAAGCTCCGGGAATTTGTGATGGACAGGGAGGCCTGGCATGCTGCGATTCATGGGGTCGCAAAGAGTCGGACACAACTGAGCAACTAAACTGAACTGAACCTTCAAAGGAGAAGATAGTTCGTTTCTATCACAGGCAAAGATAGTTCATTTCTTTTCAGATTGGTGCTTCTGTAGAAAAAAGAACCAATTACACCTTTTATTGGAGTATAGTTGATTTACACCATTGTGTTGGTTTCTGTTGTAAAGTGTATCAGTTGTACTATTAACACATAAGCATGTATCCACTGGTTTTTAGCGTCTTTTCCCATATAGATCATTTCAGAATGAATATTGAGCATTTTCTTCAGTGTTTAGTGCTACTGTTTGTATTCAGCGCCTGGCACCTGGTATGTACTTGTTGTATCTTGTTGTGGCTTAGATGTGTCCCCCTAGAAATTGTATGTTGAAGTCATAAACCCCCAATACTTTAGAATGTGACTGTATTTGGAGATATAACCTTCAGAGAGGTTAAGTTAAAATTTGGCCACTAGAGGGGACCCTAATCCAATGTGACTATTTGGAAGTTAAGTATTGTCTATAGTCAACACATGTTCTACAGTCAACGTGTATGTGTGTGTGTATGTGTCCACGCACACACACTTGGTCGCTCAGTGGGGTCCACCTCTCTGAGACTGCATGGACCATAGCCTGCCAGGCTTCTCTGTCCATGGAATTTCCCAGGCAAGTATACTGGAGTGGGTAGCCTTTTCCTGCTCCAGGGGATCTTGCTGACCCAGGGATCAAACCTGGGTCCCCTCCTTTGTAGGCAGATTCTTTACCCTCTCAACCACCAGCTGCTGCTGCTGCTAAATTGCTTCAGTCATATCCGACTCTGTGCGACCCCATAGATGGCAGCCCACCGGGTTCCCCTGTCCCTGGGATTCTCCAGGCAAGAACATTGGAGTGGGTTGCCATTTCCTTCTCCAATGCATGAAAGTGAAAAGTGAAAGTGAAGCTGCTCAGTCGTGTCCGACTCCCAGCGACCCCATGGACTTCAGCCCACCAGGCTCCTCCATCCTTGGGATTTTCCAGGCAAGAGTACTGGAGTGGGGTGCCATTGCCTTCTCTGCTACTGAAGTTATTTCTGGTTTCTTTTTAGTAGAATTTTGTTGTGGGGAAAATGGCATTATATTTGCTATAAAATGTCAGTTATGGCCACACCCTAGAATTGGCTCAGTATTCTTCTCCCCAATTCATCCCTTGCTGCAGCCATTTGGTCATGCTGGCAACTGCCTTGTTACAATGCTTGGATTTAAACTGAAGTTTCTGTTGCAAAAGCAACTACAGTTGTCCGGAATGTGGAAAGCAGATGTTTCTCTTCCAGCATGTCTTGCAGAATTTCCTAGCAAGCAAATTTCTTCTGTGAAAAGGATGCTTGAGAAAGGTCATGTCTTTGGCAAAGATAAAAGAAGAAAGGTAAACTTTTAACTGCTTATTCTTGGAAGGCTTTAGCTTGTGACTTATTGTGAAGACAACCATGTGATTGTTGGTTAAGATATGATAAAAGACAACCAAAGAACTCTTCTGTTTTTTGTTTTTTTAAGAAACTTGTTTCCTTTTTTAGTGTCTTGGCTCTTCACCAGGAAAGAGTGTATTTTTCTTGGGGACAGTTGACAAAAACAGTAGTTTAGTTGGGTTTGGGAAATGCAGAGGATGAGAGAGAGAAAAACCAGGAAAATAGAGAAGGACCCTGGGGGAGAGAGGGTAGAATTAGAATACTGGAGACTGACTTTTCTTGATTTGTTTGAAGGGAATGTCTTGGGCATTATCTAGACCAAAAGATATTCTAAAACCAAATGAAGAGAATTAGTTTAGTTTTGTCTTGTCTCACTTCTATCAAGGAGGATTAACTATTCATTTGCATCAAGTTAACAAGAGTTGATATGAAAAACTAGTTTACTCTAATTAGTCATTGAATGGGTGTGTTCCAGATGTATCAGTGTAATGGGTAGTGAATCTGTATTCTTGAATCTGAAGAGAATATTTAAAATTTCTCTCCAGTTTTTCAAGAAAAAAAGCATTTATAGGTTGTGCAAAAGATAAGCTTTATTATGTTTTCTCCTAATAGAAAGCTAATGTGCAAGGAAAACAAACAACTGGAAGACATTTACTCTGTTCTTGACTTTAGGCAAGGGTTCTTTACCTATAGAAATGAGGTGTCTGAATTAGCTGATTTTGCAGGTTTCTTTCAGCAATAAAACTTTATACTTGTCAATGTTTTTTTTTCCCCCAGGGCAATATATTATATTTTCTTTTTTATTAAAAAGAAATTTATTGAGGTGAAATCCACATAACACAAAATTAACCATTTTAAAGTGAACAAGTCTGTCACAGTACATTCACAGAGTTGTACAACCATCATCTCTGTCTAGTTCCAAAACATTTCCATCTCTGCAAAGTGAAACTCCTCACCCATTAAGCCATTTATCCCCATGTCCCATCCCCCAACCTCTGGCAATCACCAATCTGCATTCTGATTCTGCAGATTTAT